TTCCTCCCTTGCACAATAGCTGGTGCATCACTGCCATTTTCCAGCATCAGTTCTACTAAGACAACTTCAGCAAACACCTTTGCTTCCTGTTTCACCCTCATTTCATCCACTCTCTCTGTCCCACCTCTCTGTGACTGCCCTTGTCCTCTTGCTGATCTATCTCCCCCTCCCTCTCCCCTCCCCTCCTTTCGCCCTCCCTCTCTCCCCTCCCCTCCTCTCCCCCTCTCTCTCTCCCCTCCCCTAGTCCCACCTTCTCTCCTCCTCTCCCCTCCTCTTCCCTGTCCTGTGCCCCCTTCCCTGTCCTCCCTGCTCCCATCCCGGAGTCACTGTCTCGCTTTTCCTCGTTGTTCATGCAGGGAATATTAATACAAATGATAATAACCCTAATCATGGCGCCATTGAAATTGGGAGATAAGAAATTCATTACGAGGCAGTTGGCTAATGACAGTCAGGGAGATGAGACTTATGAAGGGCCAGTGCAGGCCTTGCCGGCACACACACACATACACACACACAGACACACTCACGCACACATTAGATTTTTTTATAAAATTAAGCTTTCCCTTGTGGGAACCTAAAAACGTCCCCAAAGACTAAACATTGTGGGGACATTGGCCACCTCCATGTGTCTGGACCCCCTCCCTCCCTCCCCAACTACTGGTCCTACTCAAGCCCTTTCCTCAGCAGGAGACGTGAAGCTGGGATTTCACCCAGTTTCTCTTAGAAGGAAAGCAGCTTCATTCTTGTTCCCGTCAAGAAGGTGATGAGAGGACAATTTTTGCTGAACACTATTCATCTCCCCCCAGCCGTTTTGGGGGGCTTTGATGTTGCGGGATGGCAGGAAGCGGCCAGAGTTACTCTCGTTTCCTCACCCATGCGGGACAGCAGCCTCCCGGCCCCTGCAGAGGAACCTGAGAATCGGGCAGCTGAAGCTCCAGGGCTGAATCGACCATTTGAAATGTGGCTCCTTAAAGCACAGCTGCGCACAGATGGCAGAGCTGTCTCTCACTGTCAGACAGGCCTGGGGGGCGGGCAGAAGGGGCTGCCGTAACAGGCCGCCTCTAGCAGACCTTAGCGCTAAGGAGACATGGTAGGTGCATGTGTGAGTGATGTGTGCCACCTAGTGGTCAAGTTTTTGAATGCCATGCAAAGCAGCACAGGGGACACAGGGGCCAGGAATGAAGGCTATCATTGGGATTCTGGGATGTGGACAAGATGTTGGACTGTGGGTTGGAAAAGGAGGGAGCATAATGCAAGAAAAACCCATATTTTGCTCTTTTTGCTGTGCTGTGACGCCCTGAGGTGAATGTATGTCCCCAGAGTTACTATTAACCCCAAAAATATTTTGCTGAGGACCCTGTTCACCACGCACACACACACACACACACACACACACAAATACACACAATGTGCAGCTGCCACACTCTAGGCGGGATGAGGTGGTGAGGTGTTGGGAGCCCATTGGCTGGGGCTGGTACCAGTCATGCATCAAGTGTTTTCATTGGCTGGGCTACTCTATGGCACCTGTTGCTTTTGCCTGACGACAGCACCTGTGGAGTCATGCAAGGACACCCTTAACACAGAGTCACACAACCAGACTTTGAAGAGCATGATGAAGGCGCAGAACGTCTGGGCCCGTCCACCCTCCCCACCCAGGTGAATATGCCTCCCTGGAATAAGTTACTGATGTAGTGGGGGATCTGAGAGGACACTGGGCCGTAGCAGCGCAGACCGGGCACTGGGCCGTAGCAGCGCAGACCGGACACTGGGCCGTAGCAGCGCAGACCGGACACTGGGCCGTAGCAGCGCAGACCGGGCACTGGGCCGTAGCAGCGCAGACCTCCTGTTTCACGCTTCTAAAGGGGATTTGGAGGATGTGTGTCAAATGAGTGAATTTCTTCAGCTATAAAATAAAAGGAATTAATGATGATAGGAGAACAGCGCAGACAGACAGGCAGCCTCACCCCCAACCTGCTAGCAGCAACAATAACAGCATGGGGAGTCAGAGACAAAGCATAGACTCGGGAATCAAAATCGGCTCCAATCAAAAGCTCCTATCAGAAGGTCCAATCAAAAGCTCCTATCAGAAGCCTCTATCAGAAGCTCCTATCAGAAGGTCCAATCAAAAGCTCCTATCAGAAGCCCCTATCAGAAGATCCTATCAGAAGGCTCTAATCAAAGTATCAGAAGCCCCTATCAGAAGCTCCTATCAGAAGGTCCAATCAAAAGCTCCTATCAGAAGGTCCAATCAAAAGCTCCTATCAGAAGCTCCTATCAGAAGCTCCTATCAGAAGCCCCTATCAGAAGCTCCTATCAGAAGGCTCCTATCAGAAGCTCCTATCAGAAGCTCCTATCAGAAGCCTCCTATCAGAAGGCTCCTA